ATCAATTCCCTGAGGAATCCTAGATCATCTTTAGATCTAAGAGGACCTACTCTTTTATGTAGGATTACAATGGTTAAAATCGTACTCTTTCATGTAGGGCAATAGTTCTAACTATACCCTTTCAAGAAATGTTGTGATGCACCTACCAATTAGAATATTTTACTATTACAAAGTCAATTATCAGTTTTGGAACAAACTTTGTTTTGGCAGCTATTGTATAAGATGTTCATTTTAACGCCGATTTATTTCTTTATTGACATAGAAATGACAATATTAAAGTCGAACTAGTAAAACTATTTATATTGAAGAAGCAAGAAAACAAATTGTGAATGACTAGCGATCATTGTAAACTTTGTTACCAAAATAAGCCAAGTTAAAGAAGACAAGGTAAAAGCAATATCAAAGGGTCTCAACGACTTTAAAAAGTTAAAGAAGTATGAATTATTGATCATTTTTAATATAAATTTTAAATTAATTTTCATAAAAATAAATAAATTTATTATATACTAATATTTTATCTTATGTAAAACACCACCACCACATCAATAATAATAATAATATATTATTATTATTAAATAATTGAATAACTGTAGAACATGTTTTAACTCGTTACTATTTTCAAATTATCATTTTATATTTATTTTTAAATTAAAATTTATTAGTTTAAAAAAATTATCAATAGTTAAAGTAACATAATATAAATTTAACTCGTTATCATTTTCAATTTATCATTTTTTATTTCTCTTGAGAAAATATTGAGATATAAATTTACAAAGAAATATGAAAACAAAAAATAAAAGGAGAAAAAAGTTAAGAATTGTTTTTTAGAAAAATCTTATTAAAAAATCATAAAAATATTCACATTAAATAGTAATTCCTAAAAATACCTTTAAAATAATTATATTAATTTATATATAATAATAATAATAATAATAATAAATCTATACCATAAATATATAAAATAAAGAATAATAATTTATAGTTAAATGATAATAAAAAAATTTATTATTAGAAGATATTATATCGAATCCAACAAACTTTGAGGTGCTTGGACCGTCTGGCGTAGCAGCCAGTATCGTTATTCGTTACCGCGTGACAACCCCCACTTCATTAATTGATCACCTTTGTCTTTGTCGGCATCATTCACACAAGTCGAACTCGTCCAAAACAGTCATAATTGCTCATTCTATTTTAGAGAAAAATAATATTACAAGAGACAAAGAAGAATGAGTGAGCAATGATTCATACAAGTCGTAATTTTTTATTTTTCTTTTTGTCTTACAAAAAAATAAGAAAATTTAACAAATGTGATAAGTATTATAAGAAAAGAAAATGAAGTCATAATTAGAATAATCCCAGGCTAAAAAGGTTTGAGTTTAGACTAAAATTAAATTTGAATCTTCATATTTAATTAGATTAGTTTGTGGTTTGGAACTTGAAGTTTGAAAATTTTCATCGAATCCAAGCTAAATTAATTCAATTAAGACAAAATTTATTTGTTCTAGTTACCGAATTAAATTTTTTTTTTTTGTAACTGTGGAAAGTTAAAAAACAAAAACACAAAACGAAAATACCAAAGGAAGGGGAGGTGTCGACAAGACAGCTATGTAATTCCCATGCAATCAAACGTGAGTTGTTCAATCACTTCATTAGGCGGTGACATCCAAGTGAGCTCTCCTCCGCTGCTGGTTTTCCTAGCAAGTATGTCTGCTACCTTGCTACCTTGTTTGCTTCTCTATTTATGCAGTTGAGTTTAGTATTTTAGGTTCTTCTCCGGAAGTGGTTGATCTCTTCAATAACCTCAAAATGTAAGTGTCTCGGGTTATCACCTTCGATTATTCCCTTCATGGCTTCTTGGCAGTCAGTTTCGCATATGATATTTCTCCAACCTTTGTTCCAACAAGTCTCCAGGCCAATTTTAATGTGTCTTGCTCCATCTGAATGTGTCTTGTCCCACAGGAGTTAGGGGAATTTTGACTCTGAGGATTTTTTGCTCAATGTCTTTAGTAATATTCGTGTGCAGGATTGGGAGATTCCATTCATTATTCGCCCAGAGGTCAACCAAATTGAGTTGGGTATCAGAAATATGCACAAAAGGGACTTTAGTGTAGAGAGGCCCAACTCCAAGCCAATTATCATAAAAGACAGAAGATCCTCCCGTGCCAAGTTTTGGTTTGAAGCCAGATTTGAGAAATTCCACAGCCTTATTAATACTTTTCCAAATGTAAGATGGGCACTTGAAGGTCAGAGGGATCAAGATGGAATTTGATTTCAGATATTTGTGCTTTAAAAATTTCACCCAGGGAGTTTCAGGATTCATGATATATTTCCAAATTAGCTTCCCGAGTAATGCAATATTCATGTTTCTAGCTTCCCTTATGCCAAGCCCACCATGAGCCTTCGGCTTTGTAACTTGGGACCAATTAACTAAATTCCAACTGTGAGAGGTACCATCTTTAGACCAAATACATCTGCGATAGAGTTGGTTGAGGAGGTCACAAGTTCTCTGAGGAAGCCAGTATGCTTGCATAGTATACACCGGGATAGATGTGATAACTGATTTAGCCAAACAAGTCCTCCCAGCTCTATTCAAAAGTTTTCCTTTCCAAGAGGCAATTCTGCTTCTAACCTTGTTGATTACATGCTCAAAGTCCTTATTAGTAGCTCTTCCGCTGATAAGGTTATGCCCTAAATACTTTCCCAAAGAGTTAGCTTTCTTTATCCCTAGTAGTTTTTCAAGCTCCTCAAGTCTCGAGTTACTTATATTTTTCGAGCAAACAAATTTGGATTTCTGTTGGTTTATCTTGAGACCAGAGGCTCTGCAAAATTCCTCTAGTGTCCTCTCCATAACTCTGGCTTGGTCTTCCGTTGCTTCACCAAATAGTAAGAGGTCGTCGGCAAACATTAGATGTGAAAGAGGAGGGCCACCGCGAGAAAGGTGTGCAGGTTTCCAGCTATTGATATCCACTAGCTCACTAACTTTCAGCGCAAGTCTTTCCATACAAAGAACGAACAGGTACGGGGAGAGAGGGTCCCCTTGCCTGAGCCCTCTAGAAGGAGCAAATCCTTCCAAAGATGACCCATTCCAAAGTATCTTAAGGTCTGGACCAGTTACACCCCACATAATTAGTTGAGTAATCAGCCTAGGGAACCCGAAAAGATCAAGCGTTTCACGGAGGAAGCTCCAACTCACTCTATCATACGCTTTTTCGAGGTCAATCTTTACCATGATCATTCCTTTCCGAGATTTGTCATTGTGAATATTATGAACAGCCTCCTGTGCCAAGATAAGGTTGTCCGATGTACCCCTTCCAGGAATGAAGCTACTTTGAAATGGACCAATAATGGATGAAAGGTAGGGTCTGATTCTATCCACTAGGACTTTGCTGATCACCTTGTATGTAACATCGCAAAGGCTTATGGGTTTGAAGTCCTTGAAATGCATGGGATTCTCTGATTTCGGGATCAACACAATGTGAGTGTCTAGAAGTCCTTGATCCGCTCGTCCTTGAGAGAAAGCTTTCTGGACCAGGTTATGAAGGTCTCTCCCAACAATAGGCCAGAATTTCTTGTAGAAGAAGGCTTGGAATCCATCGGGACCTGGAGCTTTCAGCGGGCTCATTTTTGTGATCACTTGTTTAACCTCATCATATATCACAGGATTGAGTAACCTGTTATAGGCTTCCTCATTAAGTTGAGGACAACGTTGAACCTGAAACAAAGGTGGACTACAAGTGATATTATTAGTAAATAACTCAATATAATACTCTTTAGCATACCTTCTCAAGGTATCCGGGTCAGTGGTCCAAGTTCCGTCATTTAAATAAAGACCATGAATCTTGTTTCTTTTCCTCCTGACCAAGGTTTGGGTATGAAAAAACTTTGTATTCCTATCGCCAAACCTAACCCATTGTTCTCTGGACTTTTGGAACCAGATGTACTCTTCCTGTAAGAGAATGTTGTTATATTCATCTTGAAGAGCTTTCTCAAGTTGATTAAGATCAGAGGAGTCATGCTCTTCAAGGGCTTTATGTACACTATTTAGTCTAGCTATGACTCTACTTTTGCGCTTGAAAATGTTCCCAAAGACTTCCTTGTTGAATTTCAACGAATCTTCTTCCACCTGTTTAAGACTAAGGCATAAATTAGGGGACCTTTTCTCCCAAGCCTTCCTAACCACCTGGTTATAATCCTTATGCGAGGTCCAGGCAGCCTGGAATCTGAATGGTCTGTCGCGGTGGTTGTCCTTGATACCACCACTTCTAACAAGGATCGGGCAATGGTCAGAATAGACACGACAGAGTGCTTCTGCATAAGCCTCTGGGAAGGTGACCAGCCACGCGCTATCGGCCAATGCACGATCTAACCTCTTTGCCATCCTTGTGCCCTTGTTAACCCTTATCCATGTGAATTTAGTTCCCGAGCAACCAATGTCCATAAGCTGGCAGGTGTCAATTACGTTAATCATCCTAGCAGCCATATATGGGACGAAGATGCCACCTCTAACCTCATCAACACTTATGATCTCATTAAAATCCCCAATGACGAGCCAAGGGAGGGTTATCACCTTTTTGATATTCATGATGTGATTCCAAACTTGTTGTCTTAAATGACTATGGGGGTTAGCATACACTGCAGAACAGATCCAATGAGAGGATCTCTTAGAGATTTGGAAGGTTATGGCTTGATCAAAGACACTAAGCTCTTTCGTGGTGAAGTCCCGGTTCTTAGGTGCCACAACCCAAATGCCTCCTGCCCGACCAGAAGTTTCAACTATGTGCAGAGGTTCAAAATCAACAGAGTCCCAAAACCTGGAAGTTGTAGCAAACTTGCAATGAGTTTCCAAAAGAATAAGGATAGAAGGTTTGTAAAGCATAATTAATTCAGGAATTCTTCTATGTGCTTTAGCATTCGCTGCACCTCTAATATTCCAAGATGGGATGTTAAAATCTTTGAAACAGTTCATGAGATAACTAAACAATTAATAAACAAAGAAAAATCTAGTGTTGTATAGAGTCTTTCCCCTCCAAATGGGAGTTCAACTCTTGTGCAAAGGATACATCCATGTTAGGTTCAGAATGAGATCCATTGGAGATGGTATCTGAACTTAGAGGGCTACCAAATTCTTCCGTCTTTCCTTCTTCATCATCCATGCGCAGGAGATATCTAGGACCACCCAACGATACGATATTTAGGCTAGACTTCGCATTGTCTCTCGAACTCAGGACTTCCAGATTCTTGGGTATAGCCTTATCCCTTAATGCCATTATGGAGTCTTTGGTAAATATCACCTTTGAAGTTAACGGTACATTTTCCTCGGTTCTTGAGCACTTCTTGGCATATCTCAATCCTTCTTTTTCTTCCAATACCTTGGGATCAGTGGCTTTACTAGTGCTATTAAATGTGAATCTTGGAGTGGAGGCTACATGAGGGGTTCTTTTTTCAGGCTTTAGGCCTTGTGAAACTTTTTTCGATTTTTCCAGGAATGTTTTGTCTTTCTCGAATGTCGGTATTCTTTTCTTCCTTGTAACGATCAACCATTCTCCATGTGCTTCCTCTACAGGAGGGATTTCTGTTGAAGTATCATCCATCATGTGTTCTCCTTCCCCTTTGTTCCTGTCATTTTCCTCAGATGTGTTCTTGTGAGTGGCTATATTTTCATATTCCTTGGCTTCAGGTTTCTCATTTAGATCTTTTGTCTTGGTGGTGCAGTCCCTAGCATAGTGTCCATAGCAACCGCAGTGTGTACAAATAATGTGGAGACCCTCATATTCCACTTTGTACCAATGATCATTCAAGTTGAATTTTCCAACAACTGGGATGTCCAAGTCAATCTCTACGCAAACCCGAGCAAATCTCCCTCTGTTCATATTTAGAGTGTTCCTGTCAACTTTGACCGGTTTACCAATAGCTGAAGCAATGGTGAGGAGTACACTTTCATTATAAAAGACCATTCCAAGACCTGGAAATCTGACCCACACAAGTGTCTTGTTCACTTTTGCTTCCAAGGCTGAGAAATCTGGGTCCCACTGTCGAACGATTAGGTAGTGATCAAAAATCATCCAAGGCCCACCAAGCATCACTTTCTCTCTATCTGCAACCACATCAAAATTAACCAAGAAAAAACCGTTAGATATATCAATTAAGTCAAAATCGCCCTCAAGTTTCCAAGAATTTCGCAATTTGTCTTTCATCGTTAGAAAGCCAATGTTTTTGCCCAGCAATTTGATGATTAGACATTTTCTCCATGGTTTGCATAAATCTTCATATTTTTCAGAAGAGATTTTGAACTTAGGCAGAAGTCTATTGCCTCCTTCTAACTCAAGATGCATTACTCCTTCTTTCAGCAGGTTGCAGACCTCTGATGGTTGGGAAGCCATTCCTAATAGTTTGTCTTTGAATGATGCAGGCATTGGTGGCCCTACGGGAGCCAAATTTTCCGGATTTGATGATTAGACATTTTCTCCATGGTTTGCATAAATCTTCATATTTTTCAGAAGAGATTTTGAACTTAGGCAGAAGTCTATTGCCTCCTTCTAACTCAAGATGCATTACTCCTTCTTTCAGCAGGTTGCAGACCTCTGATGGTTGGGAAGCCATTCCTAATAGTTTGTCTTTGAATGATGCAGGCATTGGTGGCCCTACGGGAGCCAAATTTTCCGGATTTGATGATTAGACATTTTCTCCATGGTTTGCATAAATCTTCATATTTTTCAGAAGAGATTTTGAACTTAGGCAGAAGTCTATTGCCTCCTTCTAACTCAAGATGCATTACTCCTTCTTTCAGCAGGTTGCAGACCTCTGATGGTTGGGAAGCCATTCCTAATAGTTTGTCTTTGAATGATGCAGGCATTGGTGGCCCTACGGGAGCCAAATTTTCCGGATTTGATGATTAGACATTTTCTCCATGGTTTGCATAAATCTTCATATTTTTCAGAAGAGATTTTGAACTTAGGCAGAAGTCTATTGCCTCCTTCTAACTCAAGATGCATTACTCCTTCTTTCAGCAGGTTGCAGACCTCTGATGGTTGGGAAGCCATTCCTAATAGTTTGTCTTTGAATGATGCAGGCATTGGTGGCCCTACGGGAGCCAAATTTTCCGGAAATTTTTAATATGATATTAAAACAAGATAAAAATATATATATTTTCTTTATTGATAACTTATTTTATTTTATGTTTATTTTTCTATAATTTTTATTTAATATATATCTCATTATTTTGTTTATACAAAGATATAAAAAACATTTATTTTGTGTATCAAGGAGATATTGTAACACCCCTTATTAGGAGAGAGAACCTACTCTAATATCATTTGTAACACTCTTCAAATTTGATGTCTTAGCGGTTTCATCCAACAACACTTTACACAGTAACATTTCATACAATTACTCGTTGGTCAGAATCCTTCACTGATCAGAAACCTTCGTAGGTTGTCTTTTCTAAGATGTTTGTTCACTTTTAGGATTAATGACTGACCTCACAAATCAACATAAGACTTTTCAGCGTACTTTGTCCTCACTTGCACATTTTGAGAAACTTTTCAGAAGGTCACTCATTCCTAAATCACTCCAAGTCAAACATGTTTAACTATTGAGTTCTTATGTAATGAGTTAGCGAAAAGTAGATGCATCTTGTTGGTATAGGTAGCACAATTTAATTCCTTTAAGCTATCTTCTACTATATAGTCTCACACATGTACAATATATAGATCTCTCTTACTTTGGTATGTTTAGACTGTTACAAATATTCTAACAAAGTCTTCTCTATATATACAATTAAGAGAATCAAACTTCTGTTAACATGTTTAAGGAAGTTAATTATCTAGTAATTGTGTTGAATCTTGCTAGATTTAAGTTATGCCATTATTTTAGGTAACTATCACATCGATGTGAAGTATCTATATTCATTAGTGTAAAAATTAGTCTTAAAAGCAAGATTTTAAGATCGGTTAAGAGGTAATCAATATTAAAAGTGACACGGTGTCAATAGTGTAAATAATGTGAACACTTTTAAGATCGATTATTTTATGACCGATCTTAAAATGTATGTCTGAAGCAACTTTTAAGACTGATTACAAAAGAATTGATCTTAAAAATGATATACAAGATCGATTTTTTAATACTCGATCTTAAAAGTTGTATTAGACACAACTTTTAAGACCGGTCATAAAAGAATCGATCTTAAAAGTATCATAATTATTTATGAAATGCTTCCCTTTAGTCATTCCTCCTCATGTGCGCCTCCCTTGGTCGGCCTCCCTCACTCTGCAAACGCAACCCCTCATGCCTTGGTTGTTCTCTGTTAGTCGTTCTCCCTTGTGCGTGTCTCCCTTGCTTGGTGTCTCTCCCTTGCGAATGTAGCCCTTCGTGCCTCCATCACTCCACATCGATCGTTCTCTCTCACGCGCACCTCCCTCACTCGGTCTCCCTCATTCCACGAATGCAATCCCTTGTGCCTCCATCGCTTCCCGTCAATTGTTCTCCCTCGCTTGGTCTCCCTCATTCCACGAATGCAGCCCCTCATACCTCTGTCGTTCCCCCTTGATTGTTCTCCCTCGCGCACACCTTCCTTACTTGGTCTTCCTTGCTCTACAAACGCAACCCCTCGCGCCTATGTCACTCCCCCTCGTTCGTTCTCCCTCACGTGCACCTCCCTCTCTTGATCTCTATCGCTCCGTGAACGCAACCTAAATGCGTGCTCTTCATCTTCGATGGTGTTTCTCCTGAATGCAACCCTCCGTTAGCCACCGTCGTTCATCTTAAAAATTGATACTTTTAAGATTGATTATTCTATAACTCATCTTAAAAGCCCAACTTTAAAGATTGATTCGTTAACCGATCTTAAAAATAAAAAATAATTGATCTTAAAAGTCTTTTTCCTACAAGTGATTGTTAGAAAAATTGACTAATTTTTGTCGCAGAGGTATCCATACACAAAATGAACATTCTTCTTTCAGAATATAATTTATTCCATTCACAAGACATTTGATAACACTAAATAAAATCAATAAAAAAAATATAAACTTAGAAAAATTTAAGAGTAAAATCTAAAATGCATTAATTTAAAAAGTTAAAAAATAGTTGACCGATTAAGTTAAATATGTTAACTAAGCCAATTATAGTTGACTTATTTTAAATTTAAAATAAAAATTAATTAATAAGATAAATATGAATAAATTTATTTTATTTAAATAATCAAATTAATGACATCGGATGAATCTTTGCAATAAAATAAGATAAAAAAAATAATTATTCAAAATTAGATGAAGTTTACGAAGAAACAATATTACATTTGATTTATAATTTATCACAATATTTCACCGTTATATTAATCTAATATTTAAATTAATATATTACATCTTCTTCACATTGTCCTAAAATTTATTATTAGTAATAATTATTTAATAATGATAAATTAATTTTTTTATTTTATTACTTAATAAAAATATTAATGATTAATAAATAATAGTCACTAAAAATATATTTACATTATACCAAAATTTATTATTAGTGATAATTATTTAATAGTTAAACTAATGATCTCTATTTTATTATCTAATAAAAATATTAATGACTAATAAATAATAGCCACTAAAAATATATTTATAAGAGTAATTATTGAAAATTATCAATAAAAAAATAAGAGTAACTTTTAATTCATCTTATTTGAAAATCTTAAGACATCCCATATTGATTAGAGATAAAACAATTAAAGAGTATATAAGTAAAAACAACTATTTGCTTACAAGTCTCACATCAACTAAAAATAAGATAATTAAGAAGTATATAAGTTATGAATCATTTTCTTAAATTTTTAGTGACAATAGTAAAAAATATTAAATGTCACAAAAACTTATCGATAAATGTTTCACCAACACTACATATAATGGATAATACAGAAATGTTAGTAAAATATTTTGTAGTCATTTTTATTGCCATTAAAAATAATATTAAATGTCACTAAAAGTTCATTTTGTTATAGTGACATCATATTCTTTCTACCATAGATCTATCATTCCGTTGTGTCGTGTTATTCATTACTCCGCAAGCTTTACAGCTTCATAATTGTGTTGTCCTTTACTATTGCACTACCCTTTGCCCTGGTCCATCATCCATGACTTCCTCTTGGTCACTAATGAGAGATGTGGAAGTGTTTGAATTTTTGGTACCAAACTCAATAATGCTAGACTTGAGGGGTACATTGGAAAAAATTAAAGTCACACATCGACTATAAATATAGCAACTAAAAAGTATATAAGTAGAGGACAATTACTTGCTTACAAGTCTTACATCAACTAAAAATAAGACAATTAAAAAATATACAAGTTATGAATCATTTTCTTAAATTTTTAGTGACAATAGCAAAAAATATTAAATGTCACAAAAACTTGTTGATAAATGTTTTACCAACACTGCATACAATGGTTAATATAGAAATACTAGTAAAATAATTTGCAATCATTTTTATTGTCATTAAAAATAATATTGAATGTACTAAAAGTTCATTTCGTTATAGTGACATCATATTCTTTCTACCATAGATCCTTTATCATTCCGTTGTGTCATGTTATCCACTACTCTACAAGATCTACAACTCCATAATTGTGTTGCCCTTTGCCATTGCACAACCTTTTACCCTGCTCCATCGTCTATGACTTCCTCTTGGTCACTAATGAGAGATGTGAAAGTGTTTGAATTTTTGGTACCAAACTCAATAGTGCTAGACTTGAGGGGATATATTGGAAAAAAACTCAAGTTATACATAGACTATAAATAAGGCAACTATATGGTATATAAGTAGAGGACAATTACTTGCTTACAAGTCTCATATTAACTAGAATAAGACAATTAAAGAGTATATAAACTAGGAATCATTTTCTTAGATTTTTAGTGACAATAGTAAAAAATATTAAATGCCACAAAAACTTATTGATAAATATTTTACCAACACTGCATCCAATGACTAATATAAAAATGTTAGAAAAATATTTTGCAGTCATTTTTATTGCTATTAAAAATAAAATTAAATATTACTAAAAGTTCATTTTGTTACAGTGACATCATATTCTTTCTACCATAGATCCTCTATCGTTTTGTTATGTCGTGTTGTCCACTACTTTGCAAGCTCTACAATTCCATAATTGCGTTGTCCTTTGTCATTGCATCGCCCTTTGCCTTGCTCCATCGTCTATGACTCCCTCTTGGTCACTAACAAAAGACGTGGAAGTGTTTGAATTTTTGGTTTGAAGGAGCCAAATGGGATTCAACCGAAGGAGATACACTCCTTAGTCACATTAATTATAATCAATACTCTCATTTATTATCTTAGAAATATTTTTTCATTAAAAAATAATAATACATGATATATCACATGTGATAT